CTTGATTGTTAAAATGCTCCTCTGCCAAGGTCACCCTTTGGTGGGCATCCACACGAGACACAAATATCTTCACTTCTTTGGTGCATTTAGAGTGATCTATCCACATACCTCTACCCCATAACTCCTTGTCACCAATTTTCCAATCATGTTCCTTCCAAGTCCCCAACCATCTGGGAAAACCATTGGCCACAGCTCATGAATCACTATACAATCGCACATCTGGCCATTTCTCCTTCCATGCAAAGTCAACAAACAAGTGCATTTCTCAAAGTTCTTCCCACTGGGAGGATTTCCCTTCACCACTGTTCTTCAGGGACGTCCCAGAAAGGGGCTGCAGTGCTGTCACTGTCCACTTTTGAGTGGCATCTGATATAACACAAAATCATTTGTAAACCAGGCACGAGTTTCTCCTCCTCAGTCAATGGATCATAAGGAACTCAGGTGCAGACTGGGAGAGGAGAGGAAATGTGACAAGAGTGGAGACTATGAGCATTTGGGCCACTTCCTCATGCAACTTACGTGTGCCTTCAGGTCCTGCTTGGCCCAATCTCATATATGCCACTTCCATTTAATGATGGAGTGCAGCTGTGCACATCCAACTTTATGGCTCTGTGGATCAGACAACTCACAGTTCTTGATGGACAGCTCAGGCTGCTTGATGACTTGGTGGCCCATGGTTAAGTGTTCAGTCTCTACTAAGGCCCAGTAACAAGACAAAACTTATTTCTCAAAAGGAGGGTAGTTATCTACAGAGGATGAAAGGGCTTTGCTTGAATATCTTAAGGATCTGCACTGTGACTCACAAACAGGGGACTGCCAAAGACTCCAAACAGCATCTCTATCTGCCACTCACATGTCTAGTACCATTGGTTCAGCCAGATCATATGGCCCAAGTGGCAGAGTGGCTTTCATGGCAGCCTGAACCTGTTGAAGAGCCTTCTATTGTTCTGGGCACCACTCAAAATTACAGCCTTTGAGACACTTGATAAATAAGCCAGAGTTGCACACCCAAACAAGGGATATGTTGCCTCCAAAATCCAAAGAGGCCCACCAAGTGTTGTGTCTCCTTTTTAGTTGTAGGAGGGGACAGATGCAACAACTTATCCTTCACTTTAGAAGGAATATCTCAACATGCCCTATAGCACTGGATCCCTAGAAATTTTACTGAGGTGGAGGGTGCCTGAATTTTTGCTGGATTAATTTCTCACTTTCTGGCATGCAAATGTTTTACCAGTAAATCTAGAGCCATTGATACTTCTTCCTTACTAGGTCCAATCAGCACAACGTCATCAATGTAATGGACCAGTGTGACGTCTTGTAGAAAGGAAAGGCAATCAAGATCCCTGTGGACTAAATTATGACATGGAGCTGTAGAGTTGATATATCCCTGAGGTAGGACAGTGAAGGTATGTTGCTGGCCTTGCCATCTGAAGGATAACTGCTTCTGGTGGCCCTTTGAAACAGATATGGAGAAAAAAGCATTAGCCAGATCAATAGCTGCATACCAGGTACCAGGAGATGTATTAATTTGCTCAAGCAATGAAACCACATCTGGAACAGCAGCTGCAATCAGAGTCACCACTTGGTTAAGTTTTTAATGATTCACTGTCATTCTCCAAAATTCATCTGTTTTTTGCACAGGCCAAATAGGTGAGTTAAATAAGGGATATGGTGGGAATCACCACTTCTGCATTCTTCAAGTCCCTGATGGTGGCAGTAATCTCTGTAATCCCTCCAGTAATGCAGTATTGCTTTTGGTTCACTATTTTCCTAGGTAGGGGAAGTTCTAATGGCTTCCACTTGGCTTTCCCTCCCTCACTCCACATGTCACCAATCCAATGTGGGGGTTCTGCAAGTTATTAAGTATATCTATTCCAATTATGAATTCTGCAACTGGGGAAATCACTACCGGGATTTCGGGAAACCACCGGACCTACTGTGAGATGGTCCTGAGCTAAAACTCCATTGATAACCTGACTTCCATACACCCCTACTTTGATTGGTGGGACACAGTGACATTTTGGGTCTCCTGGAATTAGTGTCAGTTCAGAGACAATATCCAGTGATCCCTGAAAAGTCTGATTATTTCCTTTTCCCCAATGAACAGACACTCTTGTAAAAGGCCACAGATCTCTTTGGGGAATGCCGAGAGAAAGGTTAAAGTATAAATTTTTGGTGGTGTAGTCCTTTCTCAAGGCAACCCAGCCTCCCCCTCATTCAAGGGGTTGTAGGTCTCTAAACTGACTCAAGTCTAGGAATTGATTGAGGGCCATGACTCTCTCTTCTGATGATTCAAGCTGGACTATTGTTCACTTGACCTAGAATTATTCCATTTGTACAGATCAAGTAAATATTTTATAGATTTCCCATCGGTTTCACTCCTAGGGACACTATGACTAAGTAGTCAATGCCATAAGTCCATAAAAGTCAGATTATTTCCAATTACTGCTTTGACTTCACTGTCCATTATGTTAACCACACTCAGCTTGTCTTTCTTGATTAAGTGCTACCACTTGGCCTCCACCACCACCAGGTCCAATCAGCCCCATTGTAGTTAGGTGTCTTAATTCAGTTACAGCTGTTCCCACAGTCAAATCTGACTTACATAAAATAGCAATCACAGTAGTCTTCAAGGATGCTGGTGCTCCCTTCACAAATTTGTTCCTCTCCGTTGTAGTAATAAAAGGTGTGTCTTCTGGGTACTTAATGGGTGGGTCTGTGTGTCCAGTCTGATAAATCCATTCTAGCATGTCAATTTCCCTAAGCCTTGATTTAGTGTAGGCTACCACCTAATCCATGCTTCAGTGACCCAACCAAATAAACTATTAGACTCTTTTCTAACCCGTCTAGTTGAAACATTGAATGAAGAATCTGTGCTTACTGGACCCATATCAATAAACTCAGACTTCTCCAACTTTATGTTCTTTGCACCATTATCCCACATCCTTAATAGCCATTCCCACACATATTTCCTAGATTTCTGTTTGTGTATATTAGAAAAATCAAGCAGTTTTTTTGGAGTGTAGTGTGCCTCCTCCTAGGTCACAATTTGTACTTCACCTCTTGGGGCTTGCTGGGACTTAAGTATAGATGCAAAAATGGGTGGTGGGGTGTGTCCTGGGTACATTTAGCAATGTCTTGTAAGGCAAATCTACCTCAGGGATTGCCCCAGACAGAGCCCCAGGTGCCACCCCATGTGATATCGCAGAGAAAGACTTTTCAGGCACAGCTGGGTTAATACTATCAGACAGGAGTGGAGGTGCTAATTGTTTTACTGGGGAAGGTGGCTTAGCAAACAAAGACAGAGTAATCTCTTCAGATGGGAGTGAGAGGGCTGGTTCTGTTGGCAGAAGTGATTCAATGGAATTTAAGGGTTCAGTGTCCCAAGTTTCCTGATTATCTGCCCATGTGTCCCCATCCCGTTTCAGGATCCCATTTCTTCCCAATCAATGCCCTCAAATTAACTTCAGATACCATCCAAGGCTGGGAATTCAACTGGTGTTGTAATTCAGCCACTCTTACGTTAAGACTCTGGGTTTGGTTTTCAGCAATCTCGCTCTTTTATTGTAAGAAAAAAAGGCTTCCTTTCAGGGCACAAGTGGCAACTTTCAGGTCTTGTATGCGATGTCTGAGCTGTGACTCCGTAGCTTTGAGTTCATCCCTGTCTTTCGTCACTTTGTCTAGCAAAAGTATGACCTACCAACCAGCTTCCTTATACTTCTTATTTTGACAGAATTGTAGGAAAGTATCAAATACGTAATCTCACAGAGCCTTGTGTCTCACAAATATATGATCCAGTGGTGGTGATATCTAGTGTATTTCTATTGCTGCCTCATGCCATGGATTAGCGTTGCCCTCTTTACTACTGGAGGCAGAGTCATCAGCACCTTTAAGACTTGAGAACCAATTCAGAAAATCATCACTACTCTCAGTACCAAATGTCTTAGGTTGGGTTGTCCAGTGGAGCAAAACCAGTGAAGTGTATATATCCATATAAATACATGTGTAGAGAGATTTATTTCAAGGCAATGGCTCACACAGTTGTGGAGGCTGGCAAGTCCCAAATCAGTGGGTCAGGCATCAGGCTGGACACTTAACCTGACTCACATTGTTACAGTGGCTGATGAATCCAAAATCAGCAGGTCAGATGGCAGGCTGTTGGTTCATGGGGCTGCAGGAGCTGGCAAATTCCAAAATCTGCAAGTCAGGTGGTAGGCTGCTGGCTCACATCTTAAGAACCAGAGGTCAGGTGATGATGAGTCAATGCAGGATCAAGAGAGAGAAAGCTTTGCCAGAACATCCATATATATATCAGATGCAAGCCATACCTCCAAGGAAATTCCCCTTATATCAGATCACACAGTGGAGGATAATTACATAATACTGAGAGTCATGGTCTAACCAAGCTGACACATAACATTAACCATCACAGATACCATTATTATTCCCATTTTATAGGAGGTACAGGAAGGTTAAGCCACTTGCCTAAGGTCATGCAGATGATAAATCGTGAAGCTAGAATTGGCAGCCTGAATCAGAGTCCGGCCGTTATCCATCTTACTCTACTGTCTCATTCAATGTTTGCCTCATATATCCCTGACTCTGGGAACATTTCAAACTGTACTCAAAGGGGGCCTGAAGTTTCTTTTCCAGCCACAGAGAAAAGAATTTCCCAACAGTGAAATATTCAGGGTCGGTAAGACTTATTTAGATGATCTAATTTTTCTTTCAAATTGAGAAAACCTTGATGTGCAATTCTAGATTTTTGAAAACATAGAATTTTAAACTTTGGAATCAAGAATTAGGAACCTGCCAGTGATAATATGATTTTCTTTTCCAGAAATCTCTGCTAAGATCAGTTGAAGATTTATTTGGCAAGTGGATAATATTCCAGCCTAGAATTTCATAAGAATGGAATACAATAAAGTGGTATGTTGATTTCTTATGTTTTAAATGAAAGTAAATATAATTAAGTAAGAGTGAAGTCATTCTTTATTTACCAGGAAGCAGAAGAGGCAAACATCCACATTGCTTTTTGACGTGCCGTGCTTTGCATTCCTTTAAGCAATCAGATGTGCTGTAGCTCTCGAAATTCTGCAGCTTGATGTTAGGGTTGCATTCTCCCCAAGGATATTCTTGATTAACTGTCTTGAGATGAGATAAACAGGAGATCAGGGGATTTTTCTGAGCCAATCCACCCATTTCTACCCCAAGACAAAAAGCTGATATACGATTTTACTTTTCTCTTGGAGCGCCTTGATTTTTTTTTTTTTTTTTGTTGTTGTTGTTGACTATACATTTGCCTACTTTGCCTGTTGTATTAACTTGGAAGTCCCTGTAGGTTAGTATCATAGTTGTTCTTTAACATATATCTCAAACGTAGTGAATCAATAAAGTCAGGCTGCCTGATTTTCTAAAAATTAACTCATATAAGGAAAGTAAACTATTTGATCATATATGTAAATGACATATTAGTATACTCATCAGCTGACCCCCAAAACAGCAATCAAAATCATAAAAGCAATCCTTTATTGAACGCGTATTATATGCGAGGAAGACCCTCAACGACATGGATTGACAAGTGGCGGCAACAATGGGCTCAACCATGATGATTGTGAGGATGGTGGAGGACCCAGCAGTGTTTTGTTCTGTTGTAAATGGGGTCGCTATGAGTCGGAACCAATTCAATGGCACCTAACAACATTATATGCAAGGCAACATGGTAAGTTTGTTCTTTTTGTTATTTCACTTAAACATTGTACTAACTATGAAAGGCAAATATTACTCCCCATATTGTACAGAAAGCAGATGGAAATTCAGGAAGTTAGTTAAGGAAATTACTGAGTAAGTGGATCTAACAAGTGGTTGGCAAATGGAGCTGCCAGACCTGTCTGACTCCAAAACCCCTACTTCTCCAACTTTACTTTTCTTGTTCCCATTTGTCCTACCATTGAGACAAAGCACAGTTCAGCAACGTGTCTCCCCACACTTAATGACAATTTTCATTTCTAATAAAATTTAAAGTTACCTTGGACTTCATGGGCTTCATGGGCTTTCAATTATATTGCATATGTAAGTTCACTATTATTAATGTGTGCCTTCAAGTAAAAGAAAATCACCTGAAACTATAGAATGTCCAGTGATGATCCAAAGGCACTTTGTTGTTACTAGCTGCCTACTCACAGTGACCCCACACAGAGAAATCAGACCATTGTGATCCATAGGGTTTTCCTTGGCTGATTTTTGGAAGTAGATTGCCAGGCCTTTCTTCCTAGTCTTAGTCTGGAAGCTCCATTGAGACCTGTTCAGCATCAGAGCAACACACAAGTCTCTACCAACCGGCAAGTAAAGGCACTACCCTATCCCTAATTCTCCTAGAACTCTACATCTTGAGACTATTTACCTTCACTTGGCGGATGGTTACCCTTGCATGTGTTCCCACAGGCGAAGACAAGCCTAAACCATCCAACTGTGGCACCTTCTTTGGTGAATGGATAACAAAGATGATCCCAGCATCAACAAAGCCAAGGGCTGGGTCATCAGTGAATTCCTCCTGAAACAAAAATGCATTGTTCTCCAAATTGCAAATTGATTATATCAATTCCACACGTTGAATATTCAGTATCAGAGCTCCATCTCTTTTCATATAAAAGTTATAAAACTAAAGCCTATGAGGTGTTTTTCATGGTTGAATCACACTTCAAGTCCTCGGCATTTTGCCATAGACCGCTTTTCACCCTAGACGGGTGTCCCAGTACATATTGTGACTGTTCGTCGTCTTGCTCCCTTTGGACTGGCTTCCCCTAGTTGCCTCCGAGTTGTCTGCTCTTTAGATGTTCCCTTTGCTTCATTTGTTTTAGAAAATAATTTGGCCCTTTGCTTCTCTTTGGCATTAAAGTTTCTGGCTTCATTTCAAATCATCTTCATTTTTTCAAAATCATTAATCAAATCCATTTTCCCATAATACTGAAAACATAGTATTTCTTTAACATCAATGCTCTCTTTATACAGATCTGTCAGATGAACACGTTTAAGACTGAACTTCTGGAGATTTTGTCACTAGTTTTAAACTCAGGCTACAAGGAGAGGAATGCACTTGGGAATATGATTCTTTTTCCTGTGAATGAGTCAGTTGCATATGGAACTACATTTAATCAACCCACTTAATATTTCATTTGTAACTCAGGGGCCTATTTCTTCTGGGCCATATGACTCTCTAAGAAACCAGCAATTCTGGAGAAATATCTCAGCCCCATTTACCTTATAGAATAATGTGTTGAATTTTCAGGTTTTAATTGCATTCTAAAAATGTTTGGAAATTTCTAGCTTACAATCCATATGATATTTGAATTGACCATATCGCTAATATTTAAATCCCTTAAAAATGGGAATTAAACTTATATACATATATATGAGTATGGGTACATGCCTTGCAGTGTGCATTGCTGTTTTTAAACATAAAGAAAAGTATCTTGAATGGGATACAGGAGGAAGTTATGGAGTATACCTTAACAGAAATTCTTTAAAGGTAGCCAGAGGTCTCATTCACTTAGACTGAGAGGTGGAATGGTTTGGTAGGATTCACGGAGAATAGATTTATTTCTCATCTTGATTGTTAATTTGTATGATTTTGAATACTTAATTCAGCAGCATCTCAGAATCCTCATTTATAAAACCACAATAATGGACTAGAATACCTGTAAATGTTTAATACTAGAAATGGTTGCACAAAACAGAAGGTGAGAATTCAGCTTGGGTTGTAGCTCTACCAGGGACCCTTGAAGGAAGCACCACTGCATTTCTTAGCTATCTGAACATCTTACTCCAAGGTCCATACACTTATAACTTTTCTGGCTAATTACTTTAGGAAAGCTAGTCTTTGACAAAGTCCATTTATACAATGTTCTTTACATAGCAATTACTTTTTTCATCATCTTTCTAGACTATGGATTCTTTGGCTTGTCAATAATGTGTTTGTATAGCTTCTTTCTAAAGCAGATTGCCTTATTTACATGACAATCATTTTTAAATTGTTCTTAAAAATGCATTAAACTCATGTTAAATTAATTATACACATTTCACCTTAGAAATCTCTTGCTTCCTCACTTTTTGGCATGAACATTTCTTTGAGTCACAATAATGGAAGTCAGTTGTATAGCTAAAAATGTCAAGATTATGCCTCTAGATTTTCCACTTTTAATCTCTAGGTCAATAATTGTATCTGTGAGATTACAGGCTACGTTAACAAAGATGAAAATAATATCCAACTTGTGGGAGCTACCTGACAGGCCAAAATATTTGGATCAAGTCTGTTGACACTCTCATCCACTCTTGTTTGACTTGAACCCTGGCTAAGTTTAAGACATCCCATTACCTGGTTGACATCGAAGAGTAAGCTTAAGCCTCGTCCAGACACACTCACTTTTTTCATTGCTTGGATATTTTCACCATGATTAAAAGTAAAACAATTTCCATATTCAGTGAAGACATGTGCAAAATCCTCCAATATGAAAATAAA